ATGCCCAACTTGTTTACATAATGTTGAAGTTTTGCTTTAGGGAGTTTCTTAGTTAGGAAGTTTGCTAGTTGCTCTTTTGATACAATCAAAGGAAGGCAGCACACCTCTCATGAAGCCATTCTCTCTTGTATAAAGTGTCTGTCAACCTCAATGTGCTTAGTTCTATCGTATTGAACTGGGTTGTGAGCAATGTTAATAGCAGCCTGGTTATCACAATACAACATCAATGGCTCATCACATGGAACACCCATCTCATTAAGAAGAGATCCAAGCCATAACAACTCAAAGACCCCATGGGCCATAGCTTTATACTCTGCTTCAGTCGAAAATCTAGCAACCACTGACTGCTTTTTACTCTAGGAAGCAATGTTTCCGGCTACCATAGCACAATATCCTGATGTGGATCTCCTATTATCCACATTACCTACCCAATCAACATTTGTATATGTTTCTACCTTTGTGTAGCCATGTTTGGCAAACAATATACCCTTCCTGGGGGTTCCCTTAGGGTAACACAACCCCTTTTCTGTAGCAGCCATATGTGTGTCTCTAGGAGAATATATGAACTGGCTGATGACACTTGCAACATATGAAATATCTAGACGAGTCATACATAGATAAAGAAGTTTTCTCAGTAATCTCTGACAATTCCCTTGTCAGCTAAAAGTTCTCCATCATTACCTGAGAGTTTACGATTCACATCAATAGGGGTAGAGGCAGGTTTAGCACCAAGCTTCCCGATCTCAGTAAGAAGATCCAACACATACTTCCGTTGAGAAATAAAGATACCTTCTTTGGACTTGACAACCTCAATGCTGAGGAAATACCGCAATTCCCCTAAGTCTTTTATTTCAAGTTCAGAACTGATAAACTTCTTGACAACACTAACTTCTATATCACTTCCAGTAACCACAATATCATCTACATAAACAATAAAGAATGTCACCAGTGTACTCCTCTTAACAAAGAAGGTATGATCTGATTGAGTCTGAGTGTAACCAAAGTGAACAAGAGGAGCCCTAAACCTGTCAAACCAAGCATGTGGAGATTGTTTTAGCCCATTAACTAATTTCTTTAATCTGCACACCTTTTCTTGCATCTCCTTACCATATAACCAGGAGGAAGGGACATATATACCTCTTTAGTGAGATCACCATTCAAGAATGCATTCTTAACGTCAAATTGATAAAGCGGCCAATCACAACTCACTACTAAGGATAAAAGAACTCTCAACGAAGTCATTTTAGCAACTGGCGAAAAAGTCTTGGTGTAATTTATCCCATATACTTGGGTATATTCCTTATCAACAAGATGAGCCTTATACCTCTCAATTGACCCATTTGCATGGTACTTGATAGTGAAAATCCACGTGCACCCAACAGGTTCCTTCCTAGTTGGCAAGTCAACAATATCCCAAGTATTGTTTTTATGAACTGCTTCTATTTTAGTCCTCATAGCATCCCTCCATTCTGGTGTGGCTAAGGCTTCTGAAACGGACTTTGGGATGGGTTGAGAGGAAATGGAAGCTAGAAAGGCATAATAGGATGGGGACAACAAGCTGTGGGAAAGGTGTTTGAAAATACAATGAGCTGTACATTTCCTCTTACCTTTCCTCAAAGCAATAGGTAGGTCAAGGTCTGGGACCAACCTGTGGTTGTCTTAGCCTTTGTCGCCAGTGCCACCTCTAGAGAATAGGATGAGTGGTGGAAATTGGAGGACTAGCAGGAGGAGGGTGAGGATCAGCAATGGAAGACCTCAAAGGAGAAGATCCCTCCACGGGAATGGGGGTAATTGTGGAGGGCTTGACACAAGACTCAATTGGAGTCGGCAAAGGAATAGATGAAGAAAACAACTCAGGAAATCTCCCCCCCTTGGAAGGACGACTATAAAAAGGAACTGACTCTGCAAAGGTGACATCCATGGAGACAAAACTGATGCCATTAATAGGATTAAAACAACAGTACCCTTTTTGTGTAGAGGCATAACCAAGGAAGATACACTTCTATGTCTTGGGTTCAAACTTATCTCTCTTAGAACTGGGTATATAAACATAGCAAGTGCAACCAAAGATCTGTAGAGGAATAGAGAAAATCTCAACATCAGGAAAGAGGACTCCAAAAGGAGATTTTAACCCCAAGACTCGAGAAAGCATGTGGTTAATAAGATAGGTAGCCGTTAAAACTGCATTACCCCAAAACTTAACAGGAACATGGGTAGCAAACAGGATGCTCCTTGAAACTTGCACGTGTCTATTTTTCCTCTTCGCTACTCCATTTTGTTGTGGAGTGCGGGCACAAGAACTCTATGGATAACCCCTTCTCAAGATAGGGGGTAAGGTCCTTTTCAAAATATTCCTTAGCATTGTCTGATTGGAATATTTTGATGCGGGTGTCAAATTGAGTGAGAATGTGTTCATGGAACTGTTGCACAAGTTTATGCACTTCAGCACGAGAGCGCATAAGGTAAATGCAGGTATATTGTGAACAATCATCAATAAACAGGATAAAATATCTATAGCCACCCATAAACGGTAAATGGTAAGGCCCCCACACCTTAGAGTGAACAATATTAAATGGAACAATAGATCTTTTATTAATGGAAGGATAAGTATTCTTACAATGCTTTGAGAGCTCACATGAGTCACAATGTAGACTCGATAGACTAATTCCTTTAAATAATTCTGGAAACAATTGACTCAATGAAGAAAAAGACAAATGACCCAAACGATTATGACATAACATAATATGACTAGTGAACATAGAAACAAAAGTAGTTCTCTTAGGTTGTACTTGGCTCTGCTCAGGCACATCTAATAGATAGATCCCATTCGCCTCATGGCCATTCCCTATCACCTTCTGAGATATCATGTCTTGAAAAAACACAATAGGAAGGGAAAAAGGCCTCAGTACAATTCAGTGGTTTAGTCAAATTACTAACTGAAAGCAAATTGGTATTAAGTTTTGGTACATCAAGAACAGATGATAAGGTTAGGGCATGAGAAGTTTTAATGTCTCCCTTTCCCATGATAGGGGCAAGAGAACCATCAACAAGGGATATCTTATCCTGACTAGTTGGTAAGAGGCAAATAATTGTGAAACACTGGTCATGGTCTAAAGCACCAGAATCAATTATCCAAGGGGTTTTATGAGTACCTGAGATAGAAGCATGATTTGCAATTACACAAATACCTGAGGTTGAGGAGGGAACACTCTCTGAAGGAGTTGTGGCAGTGGATTCCAAATGATTGATTATTTGGCCATACTTCTCATACTCAGCCTTGGCGGCTGCAAGTTGTTCCCCTATTGACTTTTCTCCATCTTGTCCTTGTTCCTCTTGTGAGGAGGTGGCTACATTTGCATTTCCCCCTTTTCCAATTTCAGACCTTTTTCCACCATTTTCTTTCTTGATTCTAGCAGGAATGTGTTTTGGATGCAACTTCCAACAGGTGTCTATGGTTTGTTTAGGCGTCTTGCAGTATTCATTGATAACATCTTTCTTCCTAGTGTTAACATTTGGCTTCATCTCGGCATTGGCATAGTGATCAACTTGCGGCTCAACAGACTGAACTTGTCTTCTTCTTTCCTCACTGCTCACCATAGCATATGCCAAAGACAAAGTCACCTTTTCCTTTGCTAAAACATTTTGCCTCACAATATCATACTCTGAGTTGAATTCGGTGAGGAACTCAAAGACATGATTTCTCTCTACCAACTTCTTATATATTTCTGCATCCTTTGTGCAATCCCAAGCAACTGTTTCCATCAAGTCAATCTCTTGCCAAAGAGATTTCAGCACAGAGAAATAGACGGCTAAGGGCTTCTCCCCTTGTCTTAGATTATTCACTTCATGCTTCAATTTGTAGGCCCGAGCAACACTAAGCTTTTGGGACTAGGTCTCCGTAACACTATCCCACACTTCTTTTGCAGTTTCCATCCATAGGTAATCCTGACTAATGTGTGGTTGCATAGAATTCACTAACCATTCCACTACTGTGTAGTTTTCTTGCATCCACCTTTCATAAGTAGGATCATCCTCCGATTTCTTCTGACTCCCGGTAATGTAACCCCATTTTCTTCTACTGCACACATGTAATTGAATGGATTGAGACTAGGCTAAATAATTGGTTTAACTTCATAGTAGTCACAGCCCCAAAAAGATTCTCCACTGACCCCCATGTCCAAACTCGGGATTTGTGGAATATTTAGTCTCTTCTCCAATTTGGTCCATATAGATGCAAACGAAAATCAAATTAGGGTTTTACTAGGTTAGATTTATTGTTCTAAGCAAAGAACAACCCTTCAACACCCAAAAATAGGGTTTCACAGAACCCGGCAAAATGGGGAGGAGAGAAACTCCAACCGCTCCTCTCAAAGGCTTACCTTTGGTCACCTGGTTCAAATTGTCTCTATGACCTGTAACAAGATTTCAACAGTTATCTAGGGTTTTCGGGAAAAATCTCCAAGAACCTGCCTTGGGCTTCAACTAAGGATGAAGACCTCCACAAACCTCTCCAAAAACCCTCCTAATTGGGCTGCAATAAGGATGAAAACCTTCACAACTTGAAAGTGGGAACCCGCTCTGATACCAAGTTGTGAAATACACCTGCAATAACTCAGAAAATATAGAAAAAAAAGAAGAAAAATGAAGGAAATAAGAGAAGAGGTTTCAGCAGTAGGCTGTTGAAGAAGAAGAGAAGAGAAGGGAAGGGAGAAAAGAAGAGTTTGACCCCTTATCTTTAGCTCCCTTGATTACCTTATATTAACTTAATTCTAAAATTAAGTACAATTACATGGATGCCCTTAATGGGGCAGCCAGCACTAAAAAGATAATTAAAGAAAACAAATAAAGGCCCATAACTTTAAACACTAAGGCCCATTCGGCCCATTCTCACTAAAGTTAAGAACCTGGGTTTTCTGTCTGATTAATATTCAAAGTCACTAAAGTTAAGAACCTGAGTTTGACCCCTTCTTTCTTTTTTCCTGTTCAAATGTCTTTTGCAGGTTTGAAATCTCATGCTGTGACACTATATGAAGCAGGCAAACTTGGTGATGCCAGTATTAAGGAACTCTGCAAGGATTTGACTACTTTAGAAGGAGCTAAATTTGAAGGAGAATTGCAGGAATTTGCAAATCATGCCTTCAGTCTTCGGTGTGTTCTGGAATGCCTACAATCTGGTGGAGTAGGTAAAGATGCTGTTGTTGAAGAAACTGGTGATAAGATAGAAAAACTATCTTCAAGCAATCATGATGGCCAGGACGCTACATCTCTTCCGGCTAATATTAGTATAACTGAAGAATCCAGCAATTCCGGTGGAAATGACACTGGTACAGATGTTGAGAATATTCTTGATTTGACCAGTTCTGGGATAACTCATGATGGTGCTGCTGTACTTGAATCTGTTAGTGGAAATGATGAATCACTTTCAGCTACCTTATTGGAAGATAATGGTGACTCCAGTGAGGTCATAAAACCAGATTCTAGGTCTCAGAATGATGATACTTTGATTTTGACTGATAGTTCAGAAAATGGAAAAGGAACTTTAAAGAGAAAAAGGAAATATCGTGTAGATATTCTCCGCTGTGAAAGTTTGGCTGCTCTTGCACCTGCAACATTAGATCGGTTATTTCATCGTGATTATGATATTGTTGTATCCATGGTTCCTCTTCCTTCTTCATCAGTCTTACCTGGACCTACAGGTCCTATTCACTTTGGTCCACCATCTTACTCATCCATGACACCTTGGATGAAACTGGTACTTTATTCAACTGTGCTAAGTGGGCCTTTGTCAGTTGTTCTGATGAAGGGGCAATGTTTGCGGTTGCTTCCTGCACCATTAGCGAACTGTGAAAAAGCTCTAATATGGTCTTGGGATGGGTCAACAGTTGGAGGGTTGGGAGGCAAGTTTGAAGGGAATTTAGTGAATGGAAATATTCTTTTACATTGTTTAAACTCACTTCTCAAGTGCTCAGCCGTACTGGTGCATCCCCTTAGCAAAAATGATCTTGATGCATCTGGAAGGATCACCACTCTGGACATTCCGTTACCATTAAAGAACTCTGATGGTTCCGTTGCTCAGATAGGGAATGAGATTGGATTATGTGCAGAGGAAAGTTCAAAGTTAAATTCACTATTAGCTGATCTATCAAATAAGATAGAGTTATGGACAATAGGTTATATTCGTCTATTAAAACTTTACAAAGAAAGAGAATGCAACTACTTTTCAGCTGATAGTGAAAGCTATGAATGGGTTCCATTAAGTGTGGAATTTGGGATTCCACTTTTTAGTCCAAAACTATGCAGCAATATGTGCAAAAGAGTGGTTTCATCAAAATTACTTCAGACAGATTCACTAACTGACCATCATGATTCAATGCAAGGTTTAAGGAAAAGATTGCGTGATATTTGCACAGAGTATCAAGCAACTGGTCCTACCGCTAAACTTCTGTACCATAGAGAACAATCTAAGGAATCATCTCGCCAACTTATTAATTATGCAAGTGGAAGGTGGAATCCACTTTTGGACCCTTCTTCTCCAATTTCTGGAGCCTTGAGTGAACACCAGAGGTTGAAACTTGCTAATCGGCAGCGTAGCCGGACTGAAGTTCTAAGTTTTGATGGTAGCATTCTCAGGTGAATTATTAATAAACTTTCTACTATACATGTTCACATCGCTAAAATGTTTTTTCTCCATGTCACCAATTTTTGCATCGGGATTTGCTTATGTGATACCTTCTTTGACTTTCAGAAAATTCATATTGGTGAAGGTGTAGGAACATCCTCATTTTTGTAGGCAATAGAACATAAACATGATGCAGCTATACAGTGCAGTAAATAAAACTATAGTTCTATAATATAGTTTACTGCAGTTACTGTAGCAACAGACTATCTAGAACTATCAGGTGATCTCATTTGAGAACACAGATAGGATGGTTAAAATCTGTAACAGTTTTTGCATAGAATTTTTAGGTGTACAGTTCATATAAAGCTTTGGGAAAATTGAAGTGAACAGTTTGTTGCTCCACCAGAATGTTAATACTTGAAAAAAAAACTGATATATGGAAAAGAGGTAGCAGATCCAACAGAAAAAAGGAAAAAAATGGAAATGAAAGGTGGGAATTGGTTTATGGGTCCCAAGGTGTCACTTCCTCCATAGTGGAAGAAGAAAAGCCAAATTGCAAGAATACCCTCTATATATGTGGGGCACTATGACTTATAAAAATGTTTTTATGACTTAATTGTCTTTCAAAAATATCTTTTTTTAGGATGAATGAATCAGCAACATTAGCAAATATGGGGTTCTCTCCACTCCGGATGTTGTTCATTCATTCATCCTAATAAAAGAAATTTTCAAAAGACACTAATATGGACATGTTTGGGCTTTTATGGAGATTAAGAATACAAGTATCTTTTTAAAATATCTTTTATAGGGACTAAAAATTTTAGACCCTAATATGGACTAGTTTGGGCTTGCCTTGAGGGGCTTGGTCGGCGGTCCGGGGGCAAAGCCCCTAGCCTAGATACTAAGCACAAAAAATAAGAGAAAATCAATACATTTTTGAAAGGAGCATGGTTGGGATGAAGCTCTAGGTGCACCAAGCACACGACTTATGAAAGTGTTGTCCCTAGGACCTACGTGAGGCACATACCCTAAATTGCACCTCATCTGTGTGCCTAGGCACACCTTTTAAATAACAAGACAACCCAAAGTCACGTAATCTTGAACTTAAAAAACCTTTTGTTGGTTCTGAACCTCCTATTACTCCTGTTACTGAACCTGATGTCTTGAATTCTAAACTTGATCTTCCTATTCCTATCCATAAATGTAAAAAGAAATGCACCAACTATCTTATTACTAATTATGTTTCTTATGATGCCCCATCACCATCCTACTATGCCTACATTTTCTCCATTTCTTCTGTTCCCATTCCTCACAGTGTCGTAGAGGTAGTGCAATCATCTCAATCGAAGGAAGCTATGAACCAAGAGATGTAGGCTCACATAAAGAACTAGACTTGGGGTATTGCTTCTTTTCCTAAGAATAAAGTTCCAATATGGTGCAAGTGGGGTATATGGTTAAGCACGAGACTGATGGTTCAATTAAAAGATCTAAAGATTAGTTGGTAGCAAAAGGGTATACCCAAACCTATGGTATTTATTGATTAATAGGAGACCTTTGCTCCTATGGCTAAGCCGAACTCTTTTTGAGTGATTATGTCCCTTGCTACCTACTCTATTCTTGCCGTTGTATTGGATAAACGTGAAGAATGTTTTCCTTAATAGTGATCTTCAAGGGGAGGTTTACATGGACCTACCCCTAGGAGCAAGTTTCTTAATGGTGAAGGGAAAGTATGCCATCAAAAGAAGTCTTTCTATGGACTAAAGCAATCTCCTAGACCATAGTTTGACCGATTCAAAAGGTAGTCTTGAAGATTGGATGAACACAATCTTAGCCTAACGGTACCTTATTCATAAAGTGGGTTGATGGCTGTGTGACTATGTTAATAGTGTAATATTGATGGCATTGTAGTCATTGGGGATGACACCTCTGTGGAATTACTAAGTTGAAGTCCTGCCTTGTTTTGAGTTTGAGATGAAGGACTTCTGTGATCTCAGATATATTCTTGGGATCGAAGTTGCAAGATTCAAGACGGGAATCTTTTTTTTTTGATCAGTAAAGACGGGAATCTTTATTTCAAAATGAAAATATGTCCTAGATTTGTTTCAATAAGTAGGAAAATTGGGGTGCAAGCCAACTGAAACTCAATTGATCCCAATCATAAGTTAAGTGGTGATGATTGGGATATCCTTCCAAACAGAGGTGTTTATCAAAGACTTGTTGGTTGTCTTCGTTACTTGTTCTTGACTAGGCCTGATATATCCTATATAATTGGTGTGGGGAGTCAATATTACATAAGCTCAGAACTTCCCACCTGCAAGATGTCAATAGGATTCTTGCTTATCTGAAGTGATGCCTTGGTAAGGATTGCTTTACTCCAACCATGGGATGAAGGTTGAAGCTTACATTGATGTTGATTAGAAAAGATATGTGGATGATAGGAGATCTACCTCTATCTATTATGCTTTAGTGGGTGGCAATGTAGTGTTACGGAGAAGCAAAAAGCCATCTTTTGTTGCCTGCTTTGTGTAGAGGCAGAATACATGGCAATGGCTCATGGAGTATCTGAATTACTATGGTTAAACAACTTGCTTATAGAGATGAAGGTTCAAGCTGATGTCCCAAGAAAGACATGCTATATATATAGCTCAGAATCCTATCCAACATGACCATACAAAACACATTGAAGTGGATAGATGCTTCATTTGAGAGAAAATAGCCAGTGTAGATATATGCTTACCTTTTGTGAGGTCAGAAGACCAATTTGCTGAATGTCTCACCAAGGGAGTTCCCAAGCCAAAGTTTGATAATTATCTAAGTAAGCTGGGCATGGTAGATATCTATTATCAGCTTGAGGGGGGAGTGTTGAGGATATGTTTGTATGTGAAGGAGGGCTTGATTATCTTTAACCTTTTTTTATTTGGGCACCCATCTAGGCGTACTTGTAATTCCTTACACTTAATATAAATAGTTGTTTGAGAGTGTTAAGAATGAAAGAGAAAGAAAGAAGAGAGGAGAAAAACAACAAAGGAAAAAAGAATAATATTTGCCAAAAGTTGTCTATGGCGGCACCCACACTAACTTATATATTAGGATATTTTAAATAAGGTGAAAAATTACAAATGTACACTTGGTGACAAATTAATAGAAAAAAAGACAGCAAAAATTACAAATGTACACTTGGCAACTAATAAAGACTCAGTTACATGTAACCAATCAAGAAGCAAGTGACTAGTTAGCTGTAATAAGGCCACATGACTATTTCAAGCAGAGGAGCAATATAAAAAGAGATGGCTGTACTCTAAAATGGAGAAGATATAAAAATTTCCTCAACCAAGTTCTTTTTTCTCTCTCTCATCCCTTTCCCTTGTCTAATCTGATTCAGGAGGGAAGCCTGTTTGGGCAGTATCCGAACAGATCTCATATCTCCTTTTTTATGTATACAAATGTGAGATTGACACTTATTTTAGGCTCCATGTCATTCCACAAGTAATGCCATAATTTCAGCGTTCTCTTTCTCCCACTCACTAGTCACTAGACTCACTACCCAATCAAATCAGCTAAGGTTGATCATCTTTCAAGTACATGAGTTTACCTTTGGCTATCAAAAATATCTTGATGGACTTTTCCCGCGAAAGATAAAGTTTCTGCCATAGTTGTCAAGGCGACACCAGGGCGACAAGGCGCCCTTTGAGGCTCGCCTCGCTTAATCGCTGAGCAGTTTTGTACTATGTATTGTAAAATACTTTTTTATTCTTTATTTTTTGACGTTATAATTATAAAATTGGCACTACTATTAAACTAAAATATCCATTCTTTGTGTTTATATACTAATTTATTTTTTATTTTTTCTTATTTATTAGGATTTAATGAATACAAGCATTGCTAAATGCTGTATTGAACCCTCAAAGACTTTAAAACGTGAACCAACAAACAAGGAAGAACTTAAATTTTTGTCTAATCAACGCATTTTCTATACTTTAACATGAACTCTATACTTTTCTTATGAAAATTATGAATAATTATTAAGGAAATATGGCTATGGTACCTAGGGAACTACCCTAGGATCTATGTTGTCTATATAAAAAAATCCATCGCCTAGGTGACTAGGCAACAAGGCACCCCCCCTAACGCCCAGCCTTGCCTTGGCACCTTGAAAACTATGGTTTCTGCGTTCAGTTTAATTGAGGTCATCTGCTCATGTTTAGTAATCAGAGGAGACCATTACATTTCATTTTTGATCATCATTACCACTTCTAGCTGCTGCCATGATTTTTGACACACCACAAAACCAGTACTCTTCAATCACAAGAAAGTAAATAATAGAAGGGGAACCAGTTGACAATTCCAACCATAGGTCTGAATGTTTTCTTCATTCACACGTAGTGCAGTCTATTTGTAGGCTGTTCAACACTTAATCACCAATAATGAGCTACCAGACACACATAGAACATCCTACTTTACAGACTGAATTGTTTTGCATCACCAACACTAGCAGTTGATACATGTCTACTGCACATCAGCCCCTCGGTAGAGGGTACACACCACCACATGAACCACAACAGTCACCCATGGTGAGTGCAACCAGAACAAAGGGGAGGAGATCACAGTCCTTACTGACTTGAGTGGTAATAGAAACGATCAAAAAGGATAACAGGAAAAAACAGATGAGATTGCAATTTTGAACACCATGTTCTGAAGTTCAGAATATGGTATTATTTCTGTCCATGCATAGATGAAAAGGAGAGGGTGCACACCACAACAGTCACCCATGGTGAGTGCAACCAGAACAAAGGAGAGGAGATCACAGTCCTTACTGACTTGAGTGGTGATAGAAATGATCAAAAAAGATAGCAGGAAAAAACAGATGAGATTGCAATCTTGAACACCATGTTCTGAAGTTCAGAATATGGTATTGTTTCTGTCCATGCAGAGACGAAAAGGAGAGGGTACACACCACAACAGTCACCCATAGTGAGTGCAACCAGAGCAAAGGAGAGGAGATCACAGTCCTTACTGACTTGAGTGGTAATAGAAATGATCAAAAAAGATAGCAGGAAAAAACAGATGAGATTGCAATCTTGAACACCATATTCTGAAGTTCAGAATATGGTATTGTTTCTGTCCATGCAGTGATGAAAAGGGAAGCAAGAGTTTTAGACTAATTTGAATGGAAGTCAAGTTTCTTCTTCCCATTCATCCATTATGTTGTAAAATGTCCAATCTGCCCCTACTCAAGTTGGGAAAGATACAAGAGACAAACCACAAATAAAAAGAGCAAAGGACAATAATACCTTTGTTTACTTGCTACATAACATAATCTTTGACAGTTCATGTGATCAATGTAAAATGCTATAGCTAGAAACAGAAACTGCATAGTTAATGTTACAGGTGGAAAGATTTTGTAGATGCATTTACACTTCAGCTATTAATCTGTTGAAGCTTACAAGGTCTAATTGACTCAGAATAAATCGGTCAAACCGCTTAAAATATTTGATTCACCATTATCCTTTGATAGTATTCAATCACTATATAAGAAGTAAAGAAAAAAAAATGAAAAAATTGACTCTAGAATATTTATATTGCAGGTCATATGCTCTCACTCCTGTCTATGAAGCTGCCACAAGGCCTATTGAAGAATCACTTCCTGTGAGTACAATGAAAGTGGAGCCAGACGATGCTGATAGCAAGGAAGTTGTCCTGCCAGGGGTTAATCTCTTGTTTGATGGATCTCTTTTGCACCCATTTGACATAGGTGCTTGCCTGCAGGCTCGTCAACCAGTTTCCTTGATAGCTGAAGCTTCAGCAGCCTCAGCATCACTCCAGACAAGTAGGGTCTCATGATATAACCTTATTCTTGCACTTGTGGTTCTGATATATCAACAAAGAGATCGGCCCAATTGTGATGAATGACGTCCATCATAGACGGCAATGTTGTTGGGTCTTGATTGATGCAAATAAAATTCTTCTTTCTATTCCTTTTTGGAAGAAGCCATATGTTCTCAATTGCTTGCTTGGTAGAAAACGTGCGGGAGAGACCCAAATCATCTGGTGATTATATACACCCAATTTAATAACATCTGTAGTGAGCAGTTCATGTAATCTTCTAATGAGGCCCAACCAATTGGATACTATAGAACATTATAATGTTCCCATCTATCGATGGCCTACCACTGTAACTAATATCATTAGGAAGCTAAGTAGGGGATGCTACATTATGTCTACATTTTTTTTATCATTTCTGTATGATTGCAACATGATAATCTTACGCAGGAAAGTGCAAATCCCTCATTTGAACCATTTTTGAGATAGTTTTAACTAGACAGGAGATTGGTATAATGTAGGGCCAAGATTTGATGTTTCGATCAAAGTATCAGAAAATGATTAGGATCAATGTTAAATGGTAAAACATGTGCTGCTTGAAAGACATGATACCGAAAGGGTTTTGACCTCGTGAATTTTGATAAATACGTATTGATCAAAAAAAAAAAAATTTGATAAATACGTCTGATTGGCTAGCAACGGTTGATTGGTTACGAGTTTTTCCAGTATCATGTCTTTCGGTGTTATAATTGAACCCATTTGCATATTGATATTTGAAAGAGTATCAGATTTGCAAATTTAGGATGTCTCTGAGAATGAGAATGAGCTTAAGAAATTCAATAATATGGAGGAATGATTAGAAATTAGAATGCACTTGGATACCTCAGAAATCACCATCATTGTCATCATTATCCTAGCCTCACTCTCTCTCTCTCTACATGAATCCTATTTTGTCATTGTTATTTGATGTCATATCCAGTTTTAAATTATGAGCACTTAAATCCTTCTAGCCCCTTAAACTGGCATTTGTATGCATGTATCCAAATCACTTTAGTTCACTTTCTTTCATTTTGTCACCTATTGGAGTTATTCCTAGGTTCTTGAATGACTTCATTTTTGACCCATTCATTCTAGTTTTTCCGCTAATTTGGTAGCATGAAAAGTTGCAAGGTCTGCCTACGAAGTTGCTAGAAGCATAGCCCATTAAGATATAAACCAATGTCATTTTAGTTCATGTATCCAAATACATGAACTAATTTGGTAGGTTTTTTGTGTTTTTCTATGCATGTATCCAAATTATTTTAGTTCACTTTCTTTCATTTTGTCACCTATTGGAGTTATTCCTAGGTTATTGAACGAATTCATTTTTGACCCATCCATTCTAGTTTTTCCGCTAATTTGGTAACATGAAAGTTGCAAGGTCTGCCTACCAAGTTGCCAGAAGCATAGCCCATTAAGAAATAAACCAATGCCATTTTAGTTTATGTATCCAAATACATGAACTAATTTGATAGGTTTTGTTGGTGCCATGGTCCTAGATTTTCTGATATTGTCTTGTCTCCCTCACTAGGGAGAGTTATTCCCCTTTATATAGAGAGCAAGGTTTGAAGTATTGGAAATGTAATTTTAAGAGACATATCGAGATACTCTTTGGAAACGTATAGATATAGACGAAAAATCAAGATACGCATGTATACACTAGACGAAAAACAAAAAAAAAATTCCTTAAAAATATGAACAATAATAAAAATGAGTTTTATGTGAGTATAACTAATTTATTTGAACATAAAATCCATTCTTTAATGATTTATATAAAGTATCGGGATATAATTAGTAACCATTGAAAAATAATAAAACTAAAATGTATGTATATATACTAATATTTATTAGTTAATAATTTTTTGAAATCATTTATTAGTTAATATTTATTATGTATACAAGTTAATATATACCTTAATTTTTAACAAATCAATATAACTTGTATTCATCTTATTATTATATAAATATTAATAATCAAATTTATAGCATTTGTCAGGAAACATCCAACAAGGTAAGAAAGACTACTTTAAGTATAAAAAAACATGTCTTTCTTATAAGTAATTAATGTTGGCATAATGGTTAATTAATTATTTTTATAAGCAAAAGACTTGGGTTCTAAACTTCTTACATTTGGTTTGTGATTTTTAACAAGTTATTTCACTTGAATAACATTTAATGACATTATTAAATGTTGTAATCAAATGTACCTTAAATGAGCGTTTAATTAAATTATATTAGCATTTAGTGACGTCCCAAACTTTAAGACTTAATTAAAATTGATATTAATGAGAGAGAAGAGATAAATTAAATTTAAATTTAAATTTGATATTAATGAGAGGGAGAAGAGATAAATTAAGTTTAAATTTAAAAAGAAGTTAAATTTGACTGATACATAATGCCTATTGGTTCATTTCGGGTATGTATCGGTGCATTTCGGATTGTATCGGCCGATACATACCCAAAACAGCCCGATACAAAGCCGATACGGACCCGTACTGGTTTGATACAGATGAAAAAATACGAAACCCTATAATTAGACATGTTCCGTGTATCGAAACTCTTCTGAAATGATACGTATCGGCCCATATCGGCTGATACGTTGCGAAATTTAAAACATTGATAGAGAGGACTCTAGATTTATACAGAAATGGATCTAAAGTGATGTGGGGTGACCCAACCCAACCCATTTGAAGCTGGGAGGCCCAACCCATGTGCAGATCAGAGAATGAGATCCACTACAACTGAAGGGATGAGAGATCCATCCTATGGACGCCCAAAGATTGCGGAATAAGGGGCGAATTTCAAAAATTTTATCT